CAAGATTATCTTCTGTGTCTGTGTTAATTGGTTTCCCTTTTCTTTGTTGAAGAGGGTCTGTGCAATCCTTCTGCCTAGTCCGCCATCTTGCCCCGCCTCCCCTCCTTCCATCTTCTTTTGATGTTTCCTGCATCAGTCAATATTTTGCCCATAGAAACTTTCAATATTGCAACTTGAGGCTTGAGTTTTTCCTTCAGTTCTTTCAGCTTGAGAAATGCTGAGTGTGTTCTTCCCTTTTGGTTTCCCAACTCCATGTTTTTGCACATTTCATTATAATAATTGACTTTGTCTTCTCAAGCTTCCCTTTGAAGTCTTCTGTTCTACTCTTTTATCTTGTCATTTCTTCCATTTGCTTTAGCCACTCTTTGTTCAAGGGCAAGATTTGATGCATTGAACACCAACCGAAAACCAGACGTATTGTGGGATGACATCAAGAACATCTTCCATGAAGAAAGCAAAGGGTCATTAAAATGACATGAAAGGAAGAAAAGATCAAAATGGATGTCAGAAGAGACTCTGAATAACAATAATAATAGGACAAAATTACTGGATACTATGAAAATCCAATTGGTGAAAGATACTCCCAGAAGAATGAATAAATCTGTCCTGGAAGAACTGTATCCTGAATTCTCCTTAGAAGCAAGAATAGCCAGACTTTGTCTCACCTACTGTCAGAAGGAACCAGTCCTTAGAAAAGGATATCATGCTTGGTAAAGTGGAGGGTCAGAGAAAAAGGGGAAGACCCTCAACGAGATGGAGCGTTAAAGTGGCTACAACAGTGGGCTCAAGCCTGGCAAGGATTGTGAGGATGGTGCCAGACTGGGCAGTGTTTTGTTCTGTTGTACAGAGGGTTGCTATGAGTCGGAACTGACTTGTCAGCACCTAACAACAACAACATGAATACCACAAGGAGTCTCTGGGTGGCACAAACAGTAAAGTGCTCGACTACTAGCCAAAAGGTTGACTGTTGAAACCCATCCAAAGGTGCCTTGGAAGACAGGCTTGGCTATCTGCTTTTGAAAGCTCACAGGTTTGATAACACTGTGGAACACAGCTCTACTCTGTACACATGGTGGTCGCTATGAGTTGGAATGAACCCCTTAGCAACTAACAATAGCCATGAACATCACCAGTTAGTTCAGCAAACAGTTTCTACAGGGCCTAATGTGGGCCCTGCTTTAGAACTAGGGCTTTGACCCGTTCATTCCGGTTGAGAGTTTGCATTTCCATCTTGTTAAAATGTAGATTTTTGATATGAAGTGTGTGTGCGTGGCGTGTAGAAATGCAAATTCTCAGCATGGGTTTGAACCAGAATGAATGTGCTGGAAGCCCTGTTTAGAACTAAGTCCTACAAACAGCCACTAACCTGTCCACTCACTCCTTGGAAAAAAAGAGGGGAGGCTGAGCACAAACAGGTTAATTCTATATCAGGTGTAACTTTGTTAAACAGGGTAGTCTACTGGCATAAGACAGAAATTCTTGTGTTCCCAACTGTGATGCCAATAGAAACTGCTCATTTGCACCACCCTTCAGAGAAACCCAGGGCGTGTGCCAGACCCACCATACTTTACACATGCTTCTGGTTCCCAAGTACATCCTAACAGGTGGAAAGTTACTGAGTTAAAGTGGCTATACCTTTAAGGCACAAGCTGATTCAGTCATAGACCAATATTTATAAGGTTCCATTGTCACTTTAATTCCATGAAACCAACTTCGTTTTCACAAGCCTGTTCTGGAAAAGTGAGATTCAAACAAATTCACAACCTTCTTAGGCTTGGTCTCATTACTTGCTTTAAAGACCACGAAAACACTTGGGCAAACCTCTACTAAGAGGGCCAAGTGCCTGCAATTAAAAATTAAACCAAAATTTAGCCACCAGTGAAAATATTTGCTGTATGCTTGAAAGTTTTCATAACCGAATGTTGGAAAAAATATTCCATCAAAATTTGCAGAATGATGATTAATCTCTTATTTGTACCAGTTCATTAAATGGACTAATGACAGCTGTGGAAAAGTAAATGCCTTATCCCCAAAGCTTTTGCTCTTTAAACGAATGATGAGAAAGTATATTACAACAGAGATGGAAGAAGTGCGTCCCCAGGACAGCGAATTCTAGTGGGAACGCCAGGGAGTTTCCGCTCCCTGGGTAGGACTCAGGGCAAAGTCGCGTGGGGAGAGTCAGGGGGCCTGGAGGGCTGTTACCCCACTGCTGTTGTCCTCACCAGCCTGGAGGGGAGGAGTGCGGGAGATAGATCCAGTAGTTTGCAAAGTCCACCAGCCGGGCCTCTCTGGCAGGTGCGGACCGGTGGTGTCCCAGTGAGCTCACACAGCCTGGCGAATGTGAGGATCTGAAAACACAAAGCAAATGTCTGGGGGGTCGACGCGGCGCGACGGACAGAGTACACAAATCATTCTGATCCTGTGAGTCGCCCGCGAAGCCTGCCGACCAGACCGAGAAGGGCTTGCAAGAGGCGACGCTCGGTTCCCGCCGCCAAGTGGGGGAGCACCAGGCCCGTGGTCCCCGCAAAGGCCGCTCAGTTCCCTTCTTCTGGGGCAGGGACTGAAGGGAGGCCATTTCAGGTAGCAGTGCCCGGGACCCGCGCAGCCCGCGCGACTCTAGCGGAGCTGGCACTGGTGCGCACGGCGGTGCAGGGGGCGCGGACTTTTCTTCCGGGGGTTAAGATGGCAGGTCTGGGGAAACAAAGGAAACATGAGCCAGGCCCCGAGAGCGGCGTGTGTGGCTCGCGCGTTCGTCCGGGGTCCTGTGTGGGAATGGCGGGCGCCTGTGCAAGCCTGCACGCACCGGCTGGGGAAACATAAACAAGGTGACAGAGCCGGGCGTCGTTCACTGTGCCAGCTCACCGGCCGGCCGGGCCGCGGGGGATCTCCGGGCCGCGAAGACCCGCACCACGGCGGGAGAAAGAGGCGGCTGAGTAGCCCGGCGCGGGAGCGGCACGGGAGGCGAGGGAAGCGAGGCGGCTGGCGAGCGTGGGGGCGGTGGCAGAGGAGGGGAGCGCGGATGGGCGGGCGGCGCCACGTCACGGCTATTGTGGCTGTCCTCGTATATAAGGTCCCGTCGACCCGCCGCGCTCTCCACCTTGCTACGGCCACCCTTAGCAGCGATTCTCTGCGCTCCCAGCACCCAGCGAGACGCGCTGCGCACCGACGGAGCGGACATGGGCAGAGCGATGGTGGCCAGGCTTGGGCTGGGGCTGCTGCTCCTGGCGCTCCTCCTCCCCACGCAGGTGAGGTCCTAGCGCCCCGCGGAGCTCGGGGGGCCGCTTCCCAGGGGAAGGGGGTGGAGCCGCCCCTGGGGGACAGGTCCGCGTCCCCGCTTTCGGCCGCGGACTGGCATAGGAGGAGAGAATTTAGCATAGTAGGGGAACATGGTGGGGGGGAAGCAATGTGTACCCAATTTTCTGCTCCCTTGCGGGCTTCCCCCTCTATCCTCCTACCCCAGGAACAAAGCAGCTCCTCGCGCGCTCTGGGAGGACCCTGCCCCACCCTGGTTCCACACTGTCTCCTTCCAGGCTTACACCCAGAGATCCAAGGTGCTAGCAGAGAAGGGAATTTACGCCCCCTGCCCCTATGCCCGGATGTCGGGTTGTTAAGGGAAGTCATCCCTGGATCCTCTGAGCGCCCCGCTTTCCCCAAAGAGTGTTTTCACGCCCCCAGCGCACCACACAAAGAAGGAAAGGTTGCTTTCCGTGAGTGCTGCTCACGCCCATCCTCCACCTTCGGAGCTGGTTCGGGGATCTCGAGGAATACCGGGCTCTCAGGTCCTATCTCCCCACCCCTGTCCCAGGCGGCTTGGGGCTGGAGTCTGGGCGGAGGTCCCCTGCTGACCGTGCGCTTTCCCCGCTACTGCTTTACATACTCATCCCTTGTCACCTCGGAGCCCCGCGTTAGCGCAGATTGGCTTGCTCTGGGGAGGCAGCGGCTGGGACGCCTCTGTCCCGAGTCTGCGCCGGGCTTTGTCTCCGTCCCCGCCACCATCACCCCTCAGATCCTCTAGCCCGGATAGCGCTCCTTGTCTCCCGCGGGGCCCTCAGGACCGCAGTGACTTGGGAGGCCCAAGTGTGGGTGCTCGGTAGCCTCGAGGGAGGTCCAGGGCAGAGCGTGGCAGATCCAAGAGAGGGGACAAGGGGCATTTCTCCTGCGCAGCTTGGGCTTGGAGGGCGGGAGCAGTGGAGCGGGTTGGGTCTCCACCGCCTTCATTTGGCGTTTTCCGAGGAGTGTCTCGTGGGCTTCTCTTCCTCTGGAAAGTTGGCGCGGCGCCGGGTCCTGGGTCTCCCGGACACCCAATCGGCCGGCTCACTGGGGAACGCAGACTGAGTGTGGAGCGCTCTTCCTCTTCCCCTCCGCGGACCGGGTGACTGTACCCCATTGTCTTGCTGCGGGTCCCCTGCGCTCTGAGCCGTTCACCATTCCCCGATGGGGGAGGGGAGCGGCTTCCAGAAACAAACTCTTCCACCCTCATCCCAGTCTCTTCTCCATCTGTTTTTTTTTTCCCCTCAAAAATTTCAAGAGAGAAATTTTGCTTAATAAAAAATAAATCTAGCATGGTAGGGAATATTCATTTTTAAGGACAATTTGATAGATTTTAATTTTTTTTTTTGTTGTTGTTGTTGGTCTAGAGGTCCCTTAGATTCTCATTGAGGCACTGGGCTTTGTTTAAAAAAAAAAAAAAAAAAAGGAAACAACTCACTGCCCTCAAGTCTAACCCAACTCATAGTGACCTCTCACTGGGAAAAAGAAAGCAAAAAAGCAAAAAAAAAAAAAAAAAAGTCACCCGCTGCACTAAAGCTCTTTGTATGATGAACAGGTTACCTTAAGGAGTCCTCAACCAGATCTCCTGAGGCTCCCCATTTTAAATAATTTTCCATATTATTAATGCTTTTCTTTTAGTGAGAGTGCTATTTCCTGATGGGACTGCACACAGTTGCTCTTAATCAAGATTTTTTTGGTTAGTGTATTTTGGACAGGACTTGTACATTTATTCAGTCAATGTTTGTTTAATGACCTTATGGGTTTTACAACAAAAGGAGCTGGTGCTGTTGTAGGAGGGCTTATCTTTGGATTGATTGGCAGCCAGATGTACATGTGGCCCAGGCTCTCTTGCTGATGCCACGTTCTCCCTCCCGCCTGTAATCAGAAGCCCTTGTAAACCCTCTGGCAGTGAGAGAGGAAAACTTCCATCTCCCTTTGTTCCATGACAATGGAGAGATAATCACGTGCCCCACTGGACTGTGCATTTCAAGACTTGTGAAATCATTGTGGTGAATGATGACGGCTGCCTGGGATACTGGGGGAACCTGGTTCTCTGCCACTGGGCTGAGCTTCGGCTACTGCTGGTGAAACTTAGACCAAACACTCAGGGTGTTTCCTGTGAAGTCATTCTGACCCGTGTGCCTTCCCCTCCCCCCCCGCCGCACTTAGACACTTTTTGTGGAGTGTCAGAATTTCTAGATTCCAGGGGAGCTGATAAAATACCTGTGTCCTCTTAATTTAAAACCAAACTCACTGCCATCCTGTTGATTTCGTCCAACTCAGCAACCCTATAGGACAGAGTAGAACTGACCTGTAGGGTTTTAAATCCTTACAGAAGCAGACTGCCCCATCTTTCTTTGGCTGGTGGATTCGACCTGCCAACCTTTTGGTTAGCAGCCCAATGCTTTAACCACTCTGCCACCAAAGCTCCTGATTTAAAAACCAGAGCTGTATGGAATGGGTATATACAGGTCACCTAGCAAATTCAGGTGCAATCTATAGAATGTTTTAAAATCCAAATATTTGTGTAACTTTAAATCTCCCCCTTCATGGAAAAATAAGGGAACGTTTCAATATTTATGATGCAATGCTTACCCAGCAACTGGATTTGTTAACTTGATTCTTTATTCCTTTGTTGTTGTTGTTGTTATTTGCCGTCGAGTCGGCCCCCACTCATAGCGACCCCTCCTTGGGTTTCCGAGGCAGTATCACTACGGAAGTAGGATTGCCCAACCTTCCTTCCGAGTTTATTCCTTTATAAAGAATTAAAAATAAAGCCATACACTTTGGAGTTATATAGTAATTAAAGAACTTTTTATTTGTTGCTGCTTTCATTCTTGTTTAGGCATTTCTAGGTAGCTTGTTTTGAAACTCTAAAGAGAATGACCTTGGTGGGACTGAACAAGAATTCAGAATTTAATGATTTGGGGAAAAGAACAATAGGAAAAGAACAAACTAAGAATGTATCACCTGTCTTAATAATTGTATATTATAGTGTATGTGGAAGTAACCTTGCCGTACATGGAAATTTATCAGTGTAAATTTTTATGTATTTTAGATTTACTCAAATCAAACAACTGCCATAGCACTTTCAAATAACTCCTCCCACTATACCTCGGCTGCCACAAATCCTGCCACAAATCCTGCCACAAATCCGCCTAACGCCACCACCAAGGGAAGTGGAGGTCCCCTGCAGTGTACAGCCAGTCTCCTCATGGTTTTGCTCTCCCTTCTACATCTCTACTGTTAAGAGACTCAGGCCAAGAAACACCTCTGCTTCTCCATCTTCTAAACATAGTCCAAATGGCGGCTAGAAGTCCACTGTGGCAAGGAAAAACCAGATCTTCATTGAATCTACTAATTCCACACCTTGTGTTATTGACACAGAAAATGTCGAGTCTCAATTTTCACTGATTTGAAGAACACATGAAGGATTTTACTAGATGATGAAAGCAAATATTATATGTGTTGGAATTTCATGTACAAGATGAAGAGCAACGACGTCCAAAAATTAAGAGATGGTTTCCTTAAATGTGGCCTAATAAATATGGACACTTAAAACTACAGAAAAGAATAGTTTTATCTTATCTAGAGATAAAGGATAGGGTGTGGAATGGAAACTCACTTTTCATTTTCTTCATTAAATCTATAAGGCCATAAAATGATTAGGCAATATAAAAAGCTTCCATGGTTCTATTTATATGTACATCAGAAGAAATCTCCAGATGTTACTGTAAATCCCCCATGTATTTCAGCAGCACTAATTTAATGATGATATACTCTAGATAGTTTTACATTGTTAAGCTATCACTGTTCTCTTGAGAACTAAACTCTTACTTTGAGGCTTTGGATTTGACATTGCATTTGACTTTTACCGTAGTTGACTTGTCAGGGAATGATGGATTGGAATGTACCCCAAGTCCAAGCATAATGAGTAAATCTCACTTATATACTTACAAAGACAAATAGTAGGCATTTCCCACCACCTATTCCAGTCCAACAAGAGCACCAGATTCATTTAGTTACACTGATTCCAAAGAGTAGGAAGTGCATTGACTTCAACTAATTTCAAAATGCTGCTTTTTATTTCTGCATATGTTAAATACCTTTTATAATTTAAGAATTCATCTGTTCTGAAAGTAAAACTCTTGTTAAAAAAGGCAAACATGTATGTGAAGGAGCCAAAAATAATGTTAATCAAGAATTTGGGAAGTGAAGATAAGAAGCTAACCTGCATTAAATCCACAACAACTTTTATACTCGTTCTGTAAATACTTTTTTTTTTTTTTTTTTAAATTTATGAATCAGAATGGTGACATTTGGAACACTTTCTGTATCAGTCAATATTTTTAGATAGTTAGAACCCGGTCCTAAGCCTAAGGTGGGCTTGAATATTGAAGGTAAATCTTTTACAACTGCCTTGATGCACAGAAATCTTTTTAAAATAGACACTTCATGTAGTCTTTTGTTCGCATGGTCACGCACCGATGCTTAGATGTTCCAGTATCTAATATGAACACAGTAGTTTTGATAACCAAAGTCATTTTTTTCCATCTTTAGAAACCTCTACATGGGAACAACCAGATCCAACAGATCTTAAGCTACTGTGTGTGTGAATGAACACTCCCTTTTGCTTCATATCTGAATGCTGTACATCTGTTTTGGATTGTATATTGTGTTTGTGTATTTATGCTTTGATTCATAGTAACTTCTCATGTTATGGAATTGATTTGCATTGAACACAAACTGTAAATAAAAAAAAATGGCTGGAAAAGCATTTTGTTGATTTTTTTTTTTTTTTTCCTGGTATAAGGAATGTTTTGTGGGCGATCTTTGTTGTATATGTGTTAATTAAATCATTAGGGCTATACCTCAATATTTTCCTAGTAACTAGAATATCACAATTATTTTTGCATTGGCAACTAGCGGCAGGTTTTGACACCCTACTTATTCAACAAATGTTTATTGAATGTTAACTATATGCTGGAGAACTGAAGACTGGATGCAAAACTTGATGGATGAGGTGTATGCTACATGGAATGTGCAGTATTTGAGAATGATGGTATGTATTTTAATGACTAATAGGCAGTATACTTTCAGATTGTGCCAAGGAAAACAGACCTCCTGGGTGGAAGAACTCATGAGCTATGGGTTACATGATCATGGAAGGTCTTGGACATTTGAGCTGAGATCTGAATGGCAAGCCAGTTGTGGCATAATCTAGAGGAAACTTCCTGGTAGGGGAAACGGCATGTGCTAACTCCCTGAGCTTGTTTAAATGCCCTCCTACTGTTTATGTATCTACATAGCCTCCAACTTTGGGGTCTTAGGTTCATAAGTCATTCTGGTTTTCTAAATTGTCATTCCATCTGCTTTCATAACTCTGCATTCCTTTCTTTGACCCTTAAGTGCATTTTCTGGGCCCTCAGCAGTAATCTGTATGAAGATCAGGAGCCAGAACTGTTCAAGGAGATGGAGATTGAGGGGCCAAAACACCATTGACAGGGAATCCAAGACAAGTTTGGTCTAGTGGGAGGTTTACAAGCACACAAGGCAAACTTGTTTAAGGCAAATATTTTCAGAAAATGTTAGTTTTGAAACTTTTTTTTGGTGGAATTACTGGGATTAACTATTACCAAATGAGTAACTACACTAGTAGTTTCCCTCAGAGAATAGTTTTTTCCCTACTTAAACCAAAAATGGCCATATCTACTCACCTGTGATTTTGTTTAAAGCCCTTTCTCCTTGACAGACACAAGCATAGGTTTCTGCCCCACTCAGAACCATAGAGAAGAAACAAGGATAGAAATTGAAATAGTAGTTTCCAGTTGTATCAGGACTCCACCAAGAAATAACTGATTGAACATTAAGAGATTTATCACAGGAATTGGCTTCACACAGTTTTAGGGACTGGTTTGTTGCACTCCTGGTGGAAGTAGTTGTCCTACTAGAACTAAGACTTCTAGACCAGAAGAGCATAAGGTTGTGGGCTAGGAGGCAAAAATTTAGTGCATCACTAGGGGCAATGGTGAGTGGTGCCACTCCCATCCTCACTCCTTAATTCTTGGACCTGTGAATTCTGGCCATGAGAAAAATAGTCCAGTATATTTGATGCTGATTCAGAGCATATACATCCTCCTGGAGGACATTGCCCCAGCCCTGCAAGGTATTGTCACCTACCTGGCACTGTGACTGAGTTTTCAAAAGGCCATTACACCATGTTATCAAGCCGGTTGCTTCAGGATGACGAGGTGCATGGTAAGACCAGTGAATTACATGAACATGGACTTATTGCCACATTTCATTTGCTGTGAAATGAGTTCCTTGCTCAGGAGCAATGCTGTGAGGCACACCATGATGATGGATAAGGTATTCTGTAAGTCCATGGATGGCAGTTTTGGTGGAAGCACTGTGTGACAGGAAGGAAAATTCATATCCAGAGTAATTGTCTATCCCATTAAGAACAAACTGCTGTCCCTTCTCTGATAGAAGTGGTTCAATATAATCAATCTGCCATCAGGTAGCTGGCTGATCAGTGCAGAAGGGTGCCATACTGGGGACCCAGTGTTGGTCTTTGTTGCTTGCAGTTTGGGCACTGGCAGTGGCTGTAGCCAGGTTGAATGGAAATACATGTGCTGAGCCATTTCACCACCTCCATCACTACCACTGTGGCCACTTCATTTATAAGCCCATTAAGCAATGACAGTTGTGGCTGGGGAAAGGATGACTGGTATTCAGAGTGGGTGACCCTGTCCCCTTGATTATTAAAATCCTCCTCCACTGATGTCAGCCTTTGATGGGCATTCATGTGAGATAAATGTCTTCACAATCTTTGCCCAGTTAGAGAGGTCTATCCATATGCCAAAAAGGAGTTCTGATGGTACAATGCCGAAGGCATTTGACTGCTAACCAGAAGGTTGGTGATTCAA